CCCCAAAACCCCAAAACCCCAAAACCCCAAAACCCCAAAACCCCGGTGAAAAGGAGGTCAATTGAGATTTTATTGATAATTACAAACTTCTATGGAAATATAAAGAATTGTATTCAGAACTCAAGATATGAAAAGCCTAAGCAATCAAAACTCTATAAATGTAATTTTAAAAATGTTAAAAACAAATAAATTTAAAGAATCTAAGTAGGCCCTTTATCTAAATATTCTCACCTAAGTTCTTTGTTATCCAAACTAAAGCCAAACTTTGCTTGAATAATTACTGAAAGTGTAGTGCTCTCAAAGTAAAGCTTTACCCAACCTTATCCACTTTAAGAAGGGAAAGTCCAGCAGACAGGGACAATAAATTAATTAAGACTAACCTAGAACTAAGCCGGTCATAAATAAGCTATTTTATACCTAAAGTGGCGCATAAGGGCATATTGACAACTTTGAGCTTAATAAGAAATATTGTAAGTATCAATTATCATAAGATAAAGTTATCTATTGGTTCTTTCAACAAAGAGAGTCTCATTATCCTTCAGCTCTCTTTGCTTTTATATCAGACTACTCATTTGATCTCTAAAAGTAACATTCTCGCTTACCAGAGTGATCACGCTTATATTGACTTCTCGCCTGCTGTCTCCATCACCCATGAGCAACTTGTTGAATTGATTCCTATCTGCGAACTCTTCTAACTCTGAAAGATCCTCTGTGCCTGGAGATAAGGAGAGAGCTTACCTGATTCTGCCTTTAGAAGAGATGATGAATCATTCAAGTGGTCTTCTAAGGTACCTATGCTTGGTAAAAGAGGTTCAGTAATGAATAGCTGCACTTACCTCGACAATGTTTAGTATTTATTTCATTTATGTTAAACTCTACTTTGAAATTCTTTCATTCCTCGTTGTCTTGATTCAAGGTAGACACTAGAGGTAGCTTTAGGATTGGATAATTTGGTAATTGGGAGAAGCTGGAGCAATGCTTAATAATTAATCAAATCTAGTTAACCTAAGTAAGACTAGTTTGAAATTTTTATTTGTAGCTAGATGGATATAGCTTTATTAAATAATACATCTGGCTACTTTGTAGGTCTATTCCAGAGAGTAAAATGTTCGCAATACCTCAAACTGGTGATCTCTCTGAAGCTAAATTTTTCTGGCCCATTCAGTTTATTTTACTCTTCTGCTCTCTTGATTTCTCTTTTCTCTTCCTTTTTCTAGGAAATTTGATCACAGGAGGTTTGGCTCCTGCTTGTCCTTGTCCAATACAGTCCTGTACCGGTTGAGAGCTACGATATTAGCACAAATCATGGAAAAAATTACCTCTCTGACTTAGTCTTATGTTCTAACAATTTATTTTAGCAAATTTTCGGTGTTAAATTTATACATTGCAGAGGTGTTCTTAACTCTATTCCTTGTATGAAGGTTTAACTCCGAAGACTTCATTGATGTAACCTTGGAAGAATGACCTGAAAGGTTCTTGGATAGACTAAACTTAGAATCTACAGCTTACTTCATAGTGTCCCTCTCCTTCCTCTTTTTCTTCTTAGCCTCTTCCATGCTGCATAGATTAGATTTGTTCTTTTTGCGTTTTTGGATAATTTTATTCTTCTTCAGATTTGTCTTCACGCTTGAATAATGGCTATTATTTTTGACCTGGAAGTTGTTTTGGGGTGGAATTTTGGTAGAATCATAATTGAATCTGTTCGAACTTCATGACCCAAGATCTGCCCTGGACTTATGAGAGTCTAAAATCACACAAAAAGTCCTACTTTTACTCTGATTTAGCCTCAGATTTCCAGAATGTTGGGGTGACTGCTTCCTTGAAACCTTATTTGAATAATATCGCAAGTCAATCCTTTTGCTAAATATTGTTCTGAAATTCTAAGGTGATAACTCTGGTGAAGATTTACTTAAGCTCTTGTTCTTCTGTCGTGTTGAGGGCCAGTTTTTACTCAAACTCCTACATAAAATTACCAATCCATGGCTTACAAGTTATTGCTCATGACTGCCCCATTCTGCTGATGAGTAAACTCATGCGAGTGTCTTCTAGAGGATGATTCGCGCTCTTTGTTGTGGTTTCTAGGTAAAGAATATTAGCTTACTTTGATTTCTGGGGTTTCTCCTTCTTGTTCTTATTTATGTAAATAAAATTTATTTCGAGAGTCTGATCTCCACGAAAATACCTTCTTCTCTTCTGTATTAGAGGCATTAGGGTTTGAGTTATCAAGAATAACAGCAATAGAGAATTTGGGAAAAGAAAAGTGAATCAATCGAAGTCTTTGAACAACAAAAGCTAAGTTTTCAGATGGAAGGTTCTAAATTTCTTGATAGCTCACCTTTTACTCATTTTGACCTAGTATCCCTCTTAGTGAAAACTATAAGTATTAAATCCAGAATTTATGATTGATTAAATTTCCAAAATGGCTTAGAAGTTTTCGTAAGGATTAAAATTCTCATCAACAAATGCGTAAAAATGAGAAATGCTATCAGAAACAACTAGAGTGTTGATATGATCATAGTGAACATTTACCCATATCCTGAGTACTTCCAAGAGTCCTCTTGCTTATAGGAGGCTTTTTCGAGGGAAATATCATTTTGGCATTCTTAAAAAGCTTGATTGATCCGAAATAATTCAACTGAGACTTCATCTTTAATCTCCTATTATTATTTATGTCATGGGATATCTTCAATTGTCACTTGTAAGCAGGGGTTTTGGGGTTTTGGGGTTTTGGGGTTTTGGGG